TCGCTGCTAGTTCAGTCAGTATTACCACACAGTGCATGCGTTTACTCTAACAAACGTCAATTTGAGCCCCCTCCCCCCCGCTTAACGTTGCTGTTTTTGCTCTTCCTCTGTCTAGGCGGGTTTGATGGGGAACGCAATCTGAACACCGTGGAGTGTTTCCAGCGCAGAGAGGGCCGCACCTTCTGTGACTACGAGACCGCACAGCCCACCGCCACCCGGAAGGCCAGCGTGTTCCACCTGCTGTCAGATGACGATCTGGAGGAGAGTATTGAGGTTGAACCGCGCAAATCAGTCTGTTCCGTGGGTTTCGTCGGAGATCTCGCATCTACTCCGGCGGCAACAGCATCCAGCCCCGTGCCCCGCCTGACCGATGTAGGTCATCGTTTTTGATCACCCCGGATCACCCCCGAAGGGCGCGTATTTGTTTTTACAGTAGCACTGCGCTATCTTTCAGGGAATGCTAACCGGCATCCCACTGAGGCCGCGCAATTTTTCACAATTAGGTCAACTGAATTAAAAAATTCTGCCAAACCTCCCTAACAATTCCGAAATGTGTTTTTTGAGTTAGATAGGGGTGCTAGAATTGGGTTGTGACACAGATTAGATGTAATTGCTGGGGCAAGACTTTTATTCGCCTGACGTTTTGGATGGCCATGAACAGCGCATCATCATCCCGTGCTGGTCTCTCGCGAGGGAATCTCTCGGCCTTTTAGAAATGGGACCCAGTCCTGTCGAACAAACCAGGACTGGAGAGTTGATGTGGCTGCTGCTGCCGCTGCATTTTCTAACGAAAGCACTGAAGAGGCAGTACACTGCGGCTGTGGACTGTTATACTAAAGCGAGTCTTCCACACGACACGTTCGTGTCACAGGTCGTTGTTAGCTGTCATAACAACGCGCGTTAATGGGGCAGCGGCCACTGCAAACTAGCCTTTTGTCCCCCGAGTAACACCGAGTTATGCCGTCAGTTGGTGGCCTTCCAGGCCACGCCCCTTCACGTATCAGATCTGGTTTTTTTTAATAAAAGGAGAAGAATACCAAAAAACATCCTATCGAATAGCCCCGGCCAACCTGATTGGTGGGTAGATTAGAGTGTGTAGCAGACAGGACACGTGAGATAATACCTCCGCTTACCTTCTTTCTCGTGCCTTATTCTTTTTTGCTCAAGGCTTCGAAGAGTGCATGCCGGACAGGCGAGAACGCCACCCAGTAGGTAGCGAGCGCAATGTCCCCACGTGTTGACTGGTCCACATTTTTCGACTGAGTTTTCCATGAAACCATCTTTCACTATATGTCGCTGGAAAAACCCATGTCAGCTTATATTCTTGTTTTCGGTT